TAAGTACCCTGTGGAGCTTCATTCTGGATGCACTAAAAGAGGGAATTGTCCAATAGTGATCCAAGTTTAAAGAGTATAGTTGAGAACACTATATATGGTACATGTGTGTGGTGGGAGGGGGATAATGTGCCCCCAAACATTGTGAATTGTTCACTTGTGCACCACAAATAGAGATGTGCACTGTTTTTTAAGAAAGGTTGTGTTCATAGCTCCATAATTTAACCATGAAGGCATAGAATGGCATCTTTTACTAGCATCCATAGTCATGACAAAAGCTTTATTCGCCACCCATCCTGTTCCATCTGCTGTCAACCCAGTGACAGGTTTGGTTAATAGATTGCTCTGGTTTCCTTAAGTCTGCTCGGCCTGGCAGGATAGAACTGTGCTTTGATTTATTCGCTTACTCCTAAGGCTATTTAGTGGAAGATGTTTTAAAGAGAAGTTTTTGAAATGGTAAAAATACCCAAAATGGACAGATCGATAGGCCATGTGTCATTTATTGACGTATCATATATTTGTGAATGCCTGGCTTGTATCAAGCAATGTTCTAAGAAGCTGGGATATTAAAATGAAAACATGGGATGCTCCAGAACTCCTGGGTCTTCTGGCTTTAAGAACTGGGTAGTCAGTGGAAGATAAAACATCTCTAGTCACACGGGTGCCATCATGGACAGATAGATCTACCCGCGAGGGAGAGTGGGACCTGTGCTGAGGCTTCACAGGTGATGAGGAGGCTGTCCAGGAGGCAAGTGAAGAACGTATACAAATTGTTCAAGTTTGCTGCAGCATAAAGGCTAAGATGGGGAGGAGCTGGAGGCTTAGGGAAGATTCAAAACCACCACATGGGGTTTGTACGCAATGCTGGGGAGTTTCTACATTACTGAAAGGGATAGGGCATCATTTTGACCAAATGGATGAGTTCAGAGGGTTTCACATCCCTTTGGCCAGCTGGGTGTAGGGTAGCTGGTAGTGGGTGGGGAAGGAGCAAACTACTAGTAAAAACAAAGCACCCAGCAGGACATATGTCCAAATGGCTTAGAGGATGGAGGATGTGGCTGGCACTAGGGCAGTGGCTAGAAAGACAAGCTGAATATGAAATACAAAAGATATTTAAGAGGGAGAATTAAAAAAAATAAATCTTGTAATCATTGACAGCCACTAGCAGTGACATATTCTTGTGGATTCGGTGCCTGCTGGGTGACCTTTTTTGTGGAAAGAGCAGCAATCCTGCCTGCTGTTCTATGGCTGTTTCTATTTGAGAGATTGAACAGTAGAGATTTTAATGCTAACTACAAGTAGCTATGTGTCACCAAACAAAGGGATTAGTCCTGAGACGGTGTGGCATTTGTCATGGGTCCTTAGGTTTTAGCAGCCAGGAGACCATCTAGTCCTGGCCATGGTGCTTATAGTTCAGGTGAGCAGGTGCTCAAGTTGGAGGTAATGGGGGGCGGGGGGGTTAGGAGACTGGACTTGGTGTCAGCTGGGCGTGGGTTTGAATCCAAGGTCTACGGTTTGCTTCAACTCTCATTTCTTATCCCTGTGTCATTAGATGTCTATTCATGCATAAGTGGTGGAACTAACATTCCATCGTGGAGCAACCTGACTTCGGAGTCCACACTCTCCCTTTTCCCTTCTTTCTCTTTATATTTAATATGTGCATTGTTTTCAGGATTATTACTGTTTTTAGAAATGCTACAATTTCTAAAGTTAATTTTATTACCAGAAGTTGCTATTTCCCCTTTGACCCAAGAATTATGTCATAGAGAGCTTTTACGAAATCATGAAGAAAAGCCTGCCGTGCTTTGGTTTGGTTATGTTTTCTAGTTTTATCCCACTATCATCAAAGGACATTGTTCGTGTTATTTCTACTTTATGAAATTTACTGCATGCTTTGTGGCCTAATCTATGGTTAGTTTTGTGAATGGTCCATGTGAATCTGAAAAGAAAGTGTATTCTTCATTATCAGGATACAAAGTTTGTGATGTACTAAGATCTCCGGTATTAAGTACGTTGTTTGAATCCTCACCTGAGGATATGCCCTGTATTCTTAGAAATGAAGGGGGCCAAGGAAAGAGAGAGAGAAGAGAAATACTGATATGAGAGAGGAACACCCATAAGCTGCCTCTCATATGTACCTCAATACATGCCCTGACCAGGAAGTGACCCCACAACCCCCTGGTATACAGGACAGTGCTCCAACCAATCAAGCCACCCAGTCAGGGTGGGTCTTTTCTCTTTATTTACCTTTTGTCCCCTTGCCCTGTCCTTGGCCTGAGAGTGGTGTGTGAAATGACCTAATATTAGTATGTTTCTATTTCTTCTCGCATCACCTGCAGGTCCTGCCCTATGGGTCACTGCTGTGTCATTTGATGTACATTCATGACTGTTGAATGCTCCTTATGAACTCTGGCCTTTAGCATAGATCAGTCCTTTTCTGTCTTGTTTTGTCCTTTTCAATCTGCATTTGATCTGTCATATACCAAGACCAAACTGATGCTGTCTGTGGCTGTCAGTTTGCATTTGCCTTGGATGCTTTATCCATCCCTATATTTTTGCCTTTTAAAATCACCTTGGGTTAGGTGTGTCTTGTATTCAACAGAATCCGCATTCTGACTAGTATATTACCCTCTGCCCAGTGTGTAACTGGAGTCCCATAAACTTCTAGTTCTCTCTCTTTTTTTTCTTCTCTTCCTCAACAGGGGTCAAGACTCAGCTAAGTCCCTAATATGTACGTGTGTGTTTCCAGTTTCACTAGGAATAATAGACAAAATCATAATATATTTAAAGTATACACCATGGTGATTAGATATACATATACATTGGAAAAGGTTAATTTTATTATCAGAAATTTTGGAACTGTCTGGACTGAAGTCCCCTCCTGGACCCTCTGGCTTAGCGGGGTTGCCATTTCAGTCCTGCCCTGACAGTCTCACCCTCCAGGAGGCCTGGCTCTGCCTCACCACCTGGGAGGCCCCACATACACTCATTCCTGGGGGCCTTGATGAGCACCGAGAGAAAAGTTTAAAAATGCATTCCCTCGACTGGCTTGACAGAATAAAGTTTCCGATATTTGAACTAAAATATGATGGCTCCAAAAATATTCTTTAAAATATAATTAAATGCCTTGGAGAAAATGTTATAAGATATAAGTCCACAGCTGGAAGGAACCTGAGGAATCATTTCTTTGATCTCTCTCTCCAATGCATTAATCACTTCTATGATACCCCATATTTTCTAGTCTCTGCATTTTTCAGGTAACAGTAAACTGATACTGTCACCCACTCCAGAAGCATGAGTTTGAAGCCCAGCTAGCCCCTACCTATATTAGCTGTATGATGTTTGGAACTTCTATAAGCACCGAATCTCAGTTTTTTAATCTATAAAATGGGGACAAGGGTAGAAACTCAGAGGGCTGTTTAGAGGACCAAACGGGGTTAAAACACTAGATAGACCATTAAAAAAACATACCTATGGGCTGGGTACACCTGTGGGCTGCCACTTTTCAGTCTCTGATCTGAAGTAATTAGCATAATGCCCAGCACAAGACAGGCACTCAATAAATTATAAATTCATCAGATCTGAAACCTTACACACCAGACTCTTAGGAGAAAGGGCATGTTTGATAAGAGGCCAGGGAAGAGGAAACTCAGAGTAACCAGGACATGAACTGTAGGCCCAGGAACGTGGCAGAAATTGAGGGGACACACACCAGAGAACAGATGGAGGTGGCTTATCTAAGAATGCTGCCTCCTTCCCAGTCTGCTTACTCTGACTCATCTTCTGCTGATACCTGCTGGCTCTCTCCTACAACTGCTGATCTCCCATCCCTGTGCAGATGTAACTGACAGAGAAGGGGTGGGGGCAGCAGGGTGGCCCTGCAGCTGGCTGGAGTCCCAAAGGCTTGCTTGCAGCTTCCTTAGAGAGCGCTTATTAGGAAGAGAACAAAAACAGCATTGAGCAGCAAGCCAAGGAGGCAACATTTGCCCTGCCCCCATTCCCTTTGGCTTTTCCCCATCAACTCTAGCACCTCGCCAAATATTCCCGACGCGGGTGGGTTGCAGCTGTTCCACACATGTTAGAAATGAGGGCCAGTGGCTGTTCCTATTTTTAGCATTTGAGTGTGGATGCAAAGGTCACCAAGATCCCCCACTGGCTGGCTCACGTCCCCTCTCTTTTCTCTACATTTCTCTTCTTTTCCTCCGAGATGCATGCTTTCTGTTCAGATGAGTTAAAGGAAGACTTTTGCAGGAAGAGAGACCCCAAGTATTTGCTGATCTTGGCTGGATGCCTTATAATTGCTATGAGCTGGGTGACATAGCTGTCCTGTGGCCTGAGAAGTCACGTACAGACTTTGCAAGAAGCACCCCATGCTTGGACTGGAGCCACTCTTTTCTCTCCTGAGCATAAAACGAGGTTTAGAGTAAAAAATAGTTTCACATATCCTCCATCTGACTCTCCAAATACACAGTGGAGGGCACTGAGGCCCAGAGAGGCTGATTTGCTTATTCCTACCAGGCCTTAGTAATCAATCTTATTATATCTTATATTCATGAAAGGCTTTCCTGTGCGAAGCACTTCCCATACATCCCCCCCCCCGCCGCCCTCCAATCCTCACAGCCCAGTGAGGTGTATATCTCAATTATTCCCATTTTATAGATAACAAAGTGGAGGTTTAGTGGTTTGAGACACTTGCCCTAAGTCCCATAAGCTGACTGTGGCAGGCCCAGAGAAGACACTTAGGAATACACCTCCAATTCTTCATCTCTTTCCACAACCAGAACTCAGGGTGCCGATTCTTGAGGATGAAAGAAAGGAGGAGGAAGGATGGACCCTGAGAGGGAGGGAGGCCCGGCTTGAACACACACGTTGTCTCTGCATTGCCCTTCCAGGCGATTCTTTGGGAACCACGGAGCGCTTTCAGAACAGGAGCTCAGCCCTGGCAAGGGACCGCACGAAACGTCAGTGGACGAAAAGCTGCTGAGAGCTTTGGTCCTCCTTACCTGTTCTCTGGGTCGGCCAGGGCCATACTCCGAGTGACGTAGCACATCCTGAGGGGGATGCTCTTCCGGTCTCTGTGGAAGGAGAAGGGCTGCGAGGACGATGCCAGAGGGTCCGAGGAGCCACTCCCTAGCCGCGGGGATTCGGGCGGAGGCGTTTCCCATCCAATCTCCGACACAGGGGAGCCTTTCTTCACGTAGGGTGTGGCTTCTCTCATGTACTTCACTGCAAGCAAACAAAGACAAGAAGCTCTTTTAAGCACAGCAGGGTGGGATGTGTGGAAAATCTGATTGAACGTTGAAACGCGTTAGACAAGCTCTTCATACTGGACCTCTTAAATTCTAAACAGGATTCAGAACTGTTCCTCACATAATAGTTACCCTGTTATTGAAATTATATACCAACGTGGTTGTTAGAGCGCGAGAATTACTTTCAGCTTTTTTCAACTAGGACAGCTTCTATCTTTTCTGACTATAAGTTGCATTCTGGGAAATGGGCTGAAAAACAAATGGGCAGAGAACGGGAAAGCGTAACTTAGACACAGGGACTCTGGGTAGCCATATTCACCGTCCATGTCATCATTTTTCTGTTGAGAAACAACAGGCTTTGTCAAGTTAATAATGCTAAGAACATATGTGTAAAAAAATTGCACAGAACACTTATTTTCTATTGGCAAAAATCTATAATAGCAAAAATATTAGATGTAAGAGCTGAAAACAGGAACAACCTAAATGTTAAAAAAGGACAGATTAAATAAATTGGAAGACATCCATATTTTTAAAATGAGATAATAGAGATGTTGATATAGAAAGACCTGTAAGGCCCTAGCCAGTTTGGCTCAGTGGACAGACCATTGGCCCTTAGACTGAAGGGTCCTGGGTTTGATTCCCATCAAGGGAAGATACCTCAGTTTCAGGTTTGATCCCTGGCCCTAGTCGGGGTGCATGTGAGAGGTAACCAATCAATGTATCTCTCTCACACTGATGTTTCTCTCTTCCCCTTGCTTCCACTCTCTCTAAAAATCAAAAGAAAAATATCCTCGGGTGAGGAATAATAACAACAACATAAAGATCAGTAAGATCTATTATTAGTTTTAAACAAGTAGAGAGCAGAACACATACTGTAATCATTTTATGTATAAAGTCATAATTATATATGCTTGTATGTCTACAAATATTTCTGGATAGAAACACAAGAAAATGTTAACTATAGTTAGCTCTCGGGAGGGGAAATAAAAGTTAAGATGCTGGAGAAACAGGCCTTTACTAGTACTATTCCTTTATTACCCTTTGTACATTTTCATGTTTAGACATATGCATGTATTACTTTACAAAATTTAAAGAAACAAAAACAGTTTAAGAGTTAAACAGACTGAAATTCTGCTTTTTGATGTTTTCTTGGTCTTAAGAAGTTACTTGCCTATTCTGAATTTAAGCACCGTCTAAGCAGACAGGGCAACTAGATTCTTAGAACATGCAGCATAAACTTCCTTCTGTGGCTCATGGTCTGGTTCTCTGCTATGTGGGGAGGACTTGGCTAATTATTACAAGCTAGAGGCCCAGTACACAAAATTCATGCACAGGAAAGGTCCCTAGCAGTTGCCGGCCAGGGGTGCCTCCCTTCCTCTGGCTGCCTGCTGCTGCCACAGTCACTGGCTCGGCCCCTGGTCAAATTCCCAGTTGAACTCCTGGTTGAGGGCAAAATTTGACTATTAGGCTTTTATTATATAGGATGGCAGTGGATTGTAATGGGTGCAAGATAGGGGGCATTTCCTCTAGACCTTAGAGGATTCAATTCTAGAAACTAGTACCTTCACTGTGCAAGACATAGAGCCAGGCCTGGCCAGTGTGGCTCAATGGTTGAGCATCCACCCATAAACCAATAGGTCATGGTTTGATTCTGGGTCAGGACACATGCCTGGGTTGTGGACTCCATCCCCAGTAGAGGGCATAGAGGAGGCAGCCAATCAATGATTCTCTCTCATCATTAATGTTTCTATCTTTCCCTCTCCCTCCCTCTGAAATCAATAAAACATAGTAAAAATAAGTAAATAAAGACATAGAGCCAGGTTTATAAACATGGCAGAAACACAAAACACATAGATTCCATACTCAGAAATTACAAAGTCATGGGTGACTGTAGTTGTTGCTGTTGATGTCCCATCAGATCCTTTACCAGTGGGGCTGTGTGTTGGCTGAGAATAACTCATAGCTGTCCCCTGCTCTGGAGGACTGCTCCTGGCCTAACAGAAGCCTCCCTGCTTTGGAGACACTAGGGCTGCTGCCCAACCCCTCAGACGGAGACACTGCTTCTAGGGAGCCCCACCTATGACATCGTGATATGAGCCAAGTATATAAACTATGGCACATGTTTTATACAGGAATAAAGTACCTTTGAAGAACTCACGAGAAAAATGGATCGAGGAGCACTAGTAACAGATTAGGTTCATGACAATTTATAAGCAGACCAAACGTGCCCACAGGCATGCAGTATGGATCTATATTGGGGGAACCTATCCTAGATATTAGAAACAGATATATTGACTCAAGACATAGGAGATGTCACTTAGCACCAACACGTATTTGAAAATACAATTTCGGGGTTGCCGAGAACTTGTTAGCACAAGATGCAGTTACAGAAGAAGAAAGGTGATTCCTGGCCACTGTATTTTAAGAAATATTATTTGTTTCTTTGTAATATATTTAAAGAGAAACACAGACATACCTAAGAGCACGTGTTGAAAATTTAGGGGGACAGATTTAAGTTGTCTAAAATGGAAATAAATAGACCTGTTTTGAAGATACTGAATTTTCCATGTCTGAAAATAGCTTAGTAGAAGCTAAAACACTGCTTAGCTTTGTATATTGTAGAGCTATACTTGTTGATATATAGGGGATTCAAGAACCAGCTGAGGTCGTTTGGAGAGTATCCTTTGCTTGTATTATCATCCTTCTGGCTGAAGCAGGGGCATGTTGTTGTGAAAGTGAGATTCCAGGATGCTTCATGGAGTGGGTGGTATTTCAAGTTGGCCTTAGAGAGAAGCTGGGACTTTAAAAAGTAGAGATAAGAATCACAATCCAAAATTTAAAAAAATGAATAAATTTTAAAAAACACACAAAGAATCACAATCCTTTAATATAATGTACTCTGGTTTATCATTTTTATTGTTAAAAAGTAGAGATAAGAATCACAATCCAAAATTAAAAAAATAAATAAATTTTTAAAAACACACAAAGAATCACAATCCTTTTATATAATGTACTCTGGTTTATCATTTTTATTGCAATTCCCTAGGGAAGGAAAGTTGAACCTCAATTTGAAAGAGGGCTAAAGAAGGAACATTTGTCATAAACCTAGTGATGTACCAAGTACGGAACCCAGTGCTTTCCTCCAGTTTCCACATTTAAGCTTCAAAATAACCATTTATAGCCCCACTGTATATATAAGAAAACTAGGTCCAAAGAGAAAATGGGCAAGGCAAACCCAGTGCTTTCCTCCAGTTTCCACATTTAAGTTTCAAAATAACCATTTAAAGCCCCACTGTATATATAAGAAAACTAGGTCCTTCATTTATTGAGTATCCACTTATCCACAAGCAACAAGAGATTACATTGCTATCCCCTTCAGATCCTGCAAGAAGGAAACGTCTTATAGAACTATTTTAATTGTGGTGGGCACTAGGAGTTTCACATAGGTTATCCTTTGCAAAACTAATATTATTTTACACATCAGCACACCAATGCTCAGAAGTTAGCTTTTGTGGAGTCATGTGGCCAGTAAGGGGTGAAAGTGGGGTTTGATTTCCCAGAGATCATATTCTTTCATGGAATCTGGCTAGCCCACTTAGATGAAGGATGCAAAATGAGAAGCTAATGGGTGTGGATTTTATTCTATAGGCAGTGGTAATAGCCATGATGGTCTACAAGCAAGAAAATGACAGAGTGAGAAGTCAGCTTTAGAGAGAACTCTTGAAGTGTGAGATTGGGTGTACTAGAGGGGAGAACAAATTAGAGGTAGATCTACCAGTTACTGAGCCATTGGGGATTACTACCAGAGATAACCTGAGCAATATATAAGGTGTGAGGAATTCCAGAAATGTGTGGCTTGATCCATTCATGGGCAGAGGCATGGAAAAAGGCAATTTTAGCCGGGAAGCAAGTATTCACCAAGTAGCCATTCCCTATGTGGCACACAACTTGGGGGAGTTTTAAAGGAGAGAAGACTTAGTAAGAAAGGACACCTCATTGGAAAGGATATTCAACTGACCAAATGAAAATAAGGACAGAGAAAATAAGTTAACAAAGTAGGCATGATAATTTAGAGATTCATTCATTTAGCCAAAATTCACTAGTGAATTTTCATGTGCTGAGGAATGTGCTGTCCATGAGACATGATAATAAATGGTCTCAGATTAACAGAAGTTTAAGCCTATAAAAGGAGAAAGGGAAGTGAGTAGATTTATTCTTTTGTTAAATCTGGACCTTGGTTTTAGGAGGTTCTAAGATGGACAAGCCTATGGACCTGGTAATCAAATGCAACCTTTTCTGGAGGAAGGCAATTTAATCCTAGGCTTCCAAGAGTCCCTATGAATCATTTTTAAGGGCAATGAGCAGCATAAAATCAAAAACTTGTCACACAAAAGAAAATAAGTTTCTATGAACAAGAATTAGTAAAAATACTGGTAGCAATAGCAGTCCCACACAGACTACAAAGCCACAAGTATATTTACTATGTGTGAAGAAACAACTGAAAGCTGGAGAGAATCATCTAGAGATTATTTTTTTAAGTGACCTAATAGATTGGTAAAGAACCAAATAGAATATCAAAATACTGAGAGTGTGATCTAAGTCAGGGAGGGTAAGGTGTTCCTAAGACTAGATTTGATTGCAATAGGTGCCCCAAATTATAGTGTATTAAATAATATAGAGGTTTTTGTTTCTTTTACCAAAATCTACTGTAAAAGAAAAGGGCAGGTAGGGGAGCTCTACGCTCTGAAGTGGTCAGGGCCTCAGTTTTCTGCCTGCCTCATGCCCTGCAAGCCTAGCCTGCCATCCGATGGTCCAAGAAGGCTTCTTGGGTTCCAGCCATCACAATCAAATTCCCATCAGTAGAAAGAAGGAAGACATGAAGGACACACAATCCTTCCTCCTTTAAAGCCATTTTTTTTCTGAAGTTGATACACCAACCCACTGACCAGAATGTAGGCACATGGCTACTTCTACATG